TTTTTTTTTTTTTTTATGGTAATATGAAACCTTGTTGCATTATAAATGTAATGTGCATGCTTTATCTTGTTCAAAATAAGTCGAAGTAAACTATAAACCAGCAGTGGGAAAAATCCTCAATTGGTTAATACTAAAAAGACTCAGGAAGTTTGTGTGGAGTTTTGAATACCTGATTACCTAAGCTACTTTTTTGATTTGGTGAAGAAAGTTTCTATATAACCATTCCAATTAGGGAAAAATGCTTCAAAGGAAAGAGTTAGATTTATGTCAGAGATCCTAATGACCCAATATGAACAATTTGTCTCATAGGTCACAACTTTGACATATAATAAAAAAAAAAATGAACAGCTGTGTCCAGAAATTTCCAGTGTATCAGAACTTATTGTTAACTTTCGTAAAAGGACCAGTAAATATTTAGTTTTCTCCTAAATTCTTAAATTATGTTCTTAGGAAAAAATGGCTGCCCAAACATCCAAGGTTGTGCTGTCACTGGACGCTAAAGATGTGAACTCAATCAAAGATGGCGTGAACTTCAAGAAAAACCCCAATGATGGGAAATGTTACATCATATTCAAGAGCAGTGATGGCTTCAAAGCATGCAAAAATCAGTGCAAACATCAAGGGGGGCTGTTTATCAAGGACATAGAAGACCTGGATGGCAGGTGAGGACACATCTGTAAAAAAAAAAAAAAAAAAAAAAGCTGCGTTATGAAATGAATACTTCTAATTACAACTTATGCACTGGTCTGCTCTTACAGGACAGTTAAATGCACCAAGCATAACTGGAAATTAAACGTCTCATCAATGAAATATGTGAACCCGCCTGACAGCTTCCTTCAGGAGGAACTTGGTAAGATGAGTGAAAGGCAACTTTATTCTATATTCAATTTTGAATGGTTTCTGAATTTATGAAAATTACATATTTAATAATTATCTACATGCAAACAGCTCACAAGAACATTTAAAACTGGATATAATTTATCAGGTTTGCAGATATAATTTTTTTAATCCACTTTCACAGAGGTTGAACTCTTAGATGATGGTGGGATGCAGCTAGTGGAGCTGAACCCCATTGATCCGTGGCTAACTGATCCCAGAGAGTGTCAGGAGCTTCAGCCAGGAGAAGTAAAAGTAGGAGCTTTTTCATCTAAGCTTTGAGGAAGTATTCTAAAAAGAATATGGATTGCTTGTACAAACATTTAAAGCTTTAACTTCCATTCAGATAACATATTTCACCCACGCCTGCATGGAGCTGCAATTTGGTCAGAAGCGCTTCCTGTTCGATCCATGGCTGAGGGGCCCTGCCTTCGCCCGAGGCTGGTGGCTTCTTCACGAGCCCCCGGCAGACTGCCTGGATAGACTCTGTGCAGCCGATCTCATCTACATCAGCCACTTGCACTCTGACCACCTGAGGTACACACTCTAATGCTGCTGCTGTTTAACTAATACTGTATCAAAACTGTCGCTACTTTTTCACCATTGGAAAAGAAAAAATATTACATAAAAATAGATTATTTTCTAAGTGAGAAAACATGTCGTCTTGCTAAAGTATTAACAACTTCTGAATTTTTCAACTTTTTTTTTTTTTTTTTTTTTTTCAAGAAAACTCTGAATTTGTAGGGTTTCAGGGGTAATTACATTGTACCATACAGATGTTTAATATCCGATTGGGGTTCAAGGAGACAGAAGCAGACATACAGAAAGAAGCAGAGATACAAAAGGCAACTGTCAACCAGCTTCACAGGTGGCCCCATCCAGGAAACACACAAC